CAAATGTCACGCTGTTTGATGAAAATGATCGCGCAGTCCGCTACCAAATAAGGGTAATACACAGTCTGCCCATTAAAAGACGGCGTATTGATAATAATTTTTATTTATATAGTGAAATAGTGGCCATGTTGCGTAAAATATTTCAAGATGCCGATTTGGTGGGGTACAAGGGCGGAAATATTGGACGTAATTTATTGAATCGGATCGGTGTTTCGTGCGTTAATATGGAAATTTTAGGGTGCCCAAAATATGAATGTTTTTAAAGGACAATGGCAATAAATTTTTTTATTCCTGATATTGGTAAAACTGGACCCCCTGATTACGAATATGCTATTAGTTTTCATCAAAAATGTTTTGTTCTCGAGTTATTTCACCGTAAATATTCAGTACGTCCGCCATCTTGGATCGATTTTCAAAAAAATTATCTTTTGGGTCACATGACCTGTGTGACGTCAAGAGCAGGGTAGAATCAAAACAACAAATATATTTTATTAGGCGCATATTGCGACTTCGTACTTCTAGTGAGAAATTTGGCGCTTTTTGATTACTCGGATGGAAAATATCCACGATATCAAGTAGATAAGGTATTGCCTTATCAATTTGAACCTAAACTGGGCTTACAAACAAGCGATAGCGGTGACGAGAGCGACTCCGAAGAACAGAATGAATCGTCTGACGAGGATATCACCATGTGTTTGAGGTCGAAAATGCTTGGCGCATTTCGCATTGAAGCCAAAGGATATTGAATTGTTTTGTTGCCACGATAAAGCGTTAGAATACGATGAATAAGATGTATGATTGAAGGAGGCTGAAACACAAGGGGAGAAAGTGCTTGACTGCCTTTACAACACTGTGTCACTGTCAATAAATGCAGAATTCAAAGCGAACATGCTGTCGGAAGGGCTATTAAATAGACGTTTGTCGCTATCTTGAAGATATTAACTCTGGATGACAAAGATTTGGACAAGATACACAAAATTTATAGACTAGTAGCTTACCAACGATGTTCGCGTTGGGTATTTCAGATTTTGGGGAATAAGAACAGAAGGCCACTTCCTGCGTCAGGCTGCGCGTGTAAATAATTGCGTGTGTAATAATAAACAATTCCCATTATAGAGTAATTTTAAAACTAGGCAAGGAGATGCAAATAAATCACCACAGCTAGAAAGAGCATACTAAAATGAGTAAAATTGCAGAGTTTACTTGCGAAATGTTGTAAAATGCGGAACATAAGCCTTGCAAAGTTCGCAAATTTTGTATACTTTTGTATTGCGTGCGGAAATTGCTACATTTTCGGCCCAAATGATTTCCGCACGCAACACAAAAGTATACAAAATTTGCTATGTTTTCCGCATTTTGCAACATTTCGCAACCAAGCTTTGCAATGTTACTCATTTTAGTATGCTCTTTCTAGATGTGGTGATTTATTTGCATCTCCTTGCCTAGTTTTAAAATTATAGTCTATAATGGAATTGTGTATTCGAGCGGTTTGGGGCTTTGAGATTGTTTGAATGTTCATTTATTCAAATTTGGCTAAATCTATGCTCTTTTAATAATAGTATGTACCGATTACATGAAGCATTTTCAAGCCTGCATGGGGATAAACTCGTTTACTGTTGATAGCATTGGAATTTGTTCAATAAAGTAGCCCTCGGCCTGGGGTGCTCGAAACAGGTTTGAAATTTAATTTTAACCTTGTTTTTGAACTCAGCCCTTTGGCTGAATTTTTTTGTTTAATAAGTGTTTCATAAAAAGACATGGCTGCCATTTCTGCCTACTATTAAAACAAGGCTGCGTCAAAATCCAAGGTTGAAGATGCTCTAATTCCTCCGATGCAATCAGCTTTATTATAATGTGCAGCATGCAACCCCAATTTCCTACAACAAATGTTATTATAATTTGCAATTGTCCTATTATCTAATAAAGTGCAGTGGTGTATATATTAATGCTTTATTAAAATTTAGTTTATAAACAAAGTTGTTCTCTCATTATTTATATCACAAAAACATCAAAACGATTTTTACACGCGATTTGCAAAGAATCGAAACATAATCTCAGTCATTAATAGTGTTTATTTATGCGATATTGTTCCTGTTGGTGTGGTCATAGCCGTGATCACCAAGAACAGTAATATAAAAGTATACAAAATATAGGCGAGCATATTGTCATATTGACATATATAGTACCAGACTATGCCTATGGTAATCATTTATAATCAAAGCGCTTTTACCGCCGAAATCAACGCGTTTATTTTAAAAATACAGCTGAAACACACAGTAGAGTAGTAGAGCTAAATTTTTACGCAGTTATACAAAAAAATTTGGAGTTTATCCGCACTTTTTGGTCAAAATCTTCGTAGAATGTGTTCGCACGCATACTATTTTATATTGACAATATTTGTTTCCCCTGCTCTTGACGTCACAAATTTATTCTCACATAAATTAGCATATCAGGTTTTTTTCAAGATGGCGGACGACTGTCGAAAGTTTTATGATATTTCTGAACAACTAAACGCGATAGACATGTGAAAATACGTAATTAAGTATTCCGTAGGTATGTTTAATAGATATCGAGAATAAAAAAATTTATTGCCATTGTCCTTTAACAAAATACAATGTAAAGCACGAATGTTGCCCCTATCATATTCGGACAGTTTTTGGACGCAATATGAATTGTTACGACGTGCCCTTAAATCTTGGTGCGCTGGGTCTTTTACTTGAAAATTATCCCTATGAATCCCGTGTTATGGTCGTTGTATGCAACATGCAGTTATTTGTATGGGAAGAAGAGAATTGAAATTCAAAATTTAGGCGTAAAAGAAATTTGTATTCGAAATTATCGCCGTGCAAGCATATACGCGCTAGCCGAAGAAGAAGATGGGGAGATGCGGGTTGTTGAAGAACGGTCGTTGATGTGGATGAAGGGGAGCTTAACGGGTGTTCGTGATGTGATGTTATACGATAAAGCACAACCCAGTTATGTGCTATTGGGCGTTGATACCGAAGTCTGTGACACGAACATCTATGAAGACAATTCTGACGATGAAGACGACCCTGTAACCCATAAAACATTTTATATTATTCCTGCAGAGTGGATGCCGTATGTGTATATACGCTTTAAAGATGATGAGTCTTGGTGCATGTATTTGGCTAAAAAGAAGTTCTGTTGCTGGCAGATTTTGTGTCGTGGTGATGTTACGGTTGTACGACGCGAGCATGTAAGCATTAAGAGCGAATACATGGTCTGTGAAGATTACTTTCACGTTGGCGTTGGTCTGTGTGCGACAGTTGTTCACGAAGTGCTTGCCGATGTGGGGATATTTATAAATGCTAAGCAGCTGTACAATGCCGTACGACGACAGGCTGAGCCCTATGGTAAAACACAAGAGGTGATCTATGCGCTGGGTGTACACGAGCCCATATTTAAGTTTGGAGACGAACAAATTAATGGAAAAACTTTAAAATTTATAATGAAACATTTATTAGTGTGTAAATGCTGTAATGTGTATGTAGATAAGTTAGTGGAAATGATTTGTACAACGTTGGTTAAGCATGATACTTTACCAGGGGTTATGAATTCTGCCGAAGCTGACAAACTTAAAGACGGTCTAGTGCCCTGTTATACATATATTATGGACGGTGATTTTGTAGTTATGCGTAAAGATGCTTATAGAGCGCCGTTAAAAATTAATAGGATAAAATGGGGTTCTAAAAATATTTGTAAAGAAATTGTTGACCCATTTTTTGAGAAATTATCTAATTATTCAATGGATGATGATGGGAATGATGATGATGGGAATGATGACATATGACTATATAAGGTATAGGTATGTAGCGCGTAAATGAATAAAAGTAGAAAGGAAAAATAAAATTTTTTGAAAAAATGTCTCGCACATATTATTTCGAGTCTGTATCACCATTGTGTAATATTGTGGATTGGGCACATATCAATAATGTGTTATTGGAAATGGGGATGACTTATTTAAAATATTTACAATACACCGTAGAATTGTTGAACAAGATTGTTGGCGTAGTCCAGTTTTCTGATCGTGTGGCATGGGGGAGAATAAATCATGAGCTTTCAGCGGCGGGCTTCAAGGATGACGTGTTCACAATTCCTATGACTTCGCCGGGAAGGTTGCAACTAACTAAGAGGAACGTTTTGCGCAAAATCGCGTCAGTGTTCGACCCTTTGGGATTCATCGGCCCGTTTGTTGTTGTAGCGAAGATCTTACTTCAGGAACTGTGGGCACGTGGGTACGATTGGGATGATGAGATTCAAGATGAGCTAGCAACCAGAATCGTTGCGTGGTTTGATCAGTTCGAGACCCTGAGCACCATTATCATTCCGAGGTGCCTCCGATTGGCCTTGCCTGTCAGGAAGAAAGAGGTCGTCACGTTCGTGGACGCGTCCAAGGCGGCCTATGGTGCGGTTAGTTATCTCCGAACAGAGTATGAGGATGACCAAGTCAGTTGTCGCCTGATCGCTGCAAAGTCGAAAGTTGCTCCACTTAATCCGACCACGATACCGAGGCTCGAGCTCATGGCGGCTGTCTTAGGATTGAGATTGGCTCAATCAATTCATAACGTATTGTATCTCCCGATTCAAGAGGCTAGCTTCTTTTCCGACAGTGAAGATGTGTTATGGTGGGTTCGGGGTCGAGGAAGAGATTTTAGATCGTTCGTGGCGAATCGTGTAGGCGAGATTCAAAGCAACACCAGTCCATCCCAGTGGCAACACGTGTCAACCGCAGAGAACCCAGCCGATGTATGTACTCGAGGTGCCCGTCCAGCGCAACTAGCTGAAGATATGACGTGGTGGGAAGGTCCCGAATGGTTAAAGATGAGCAGTGAGAATTGGCCGAAGATGGAGTTGGAAGGTAAGCCTCCGAGTTTGTCAGAGCAGAAACCACCCAAAGGACCGGTAGTCAGTACTTCACTTGCGAGTAAGGTTCTCGGCATTTCGGACTGTGAGACGGAGCCTGTGGTAGCTGAGTGGAGACTTAAACCAGAACGGTTCTCGGACTGGTCTAGATTGATACGACTTTTAGCCGGTGTGAAACGAGTGGTATTTAACATGCGAAATCCAGAAAAAAGACGCAGTGGACGCGAGCTTATGGTCGACGAGTTAAAGGAAGCTGAGATCGATGTTATTCGCGATGCCCAACGTCAGGCGTTGCCCGAGGACTACCGACTAGTGAAAGCAGGAAGACCAGTATCACCGACAAGTCACCTCGCCAAGTTGAACCCTAGGATTGATGAAGATGGACTCTTACGTTCACATAGTCGTTTAGAATTTGCTGAACAATTACCATATGATGCGAGATTTCCGATCATTCTCCCAAGAGGTAATTGGTTGTGAAAGATTACCATGAGCGTGCCAACCATGCGGGTGGAGTGAATTTTGTATTCAGTCAGATATCACAACGGATCAACGCGGGCAGAGAAGAGATTCGCGAATGGGAGAAGCAGTGTAACAGGTGCAAACGACGACGGAATAAGCCGGCCAGCCAGGTTATGGCACCCCTTCCGAAGGTGAGATTGCGTTTTACATATCGAGCGTTTGACCAATGTGGCGTCGATTACGCGGGTCCATTTATGACGATCCAAGGACGAGGACGGAAGAGGCAAAAGCGGTATTTGTGCGTGTTTACTTGTTTGTCAGTTCGAGCGGTGCATCTAGAGATGGCGTGGCGATTGGACACAGACGCGTTTCTGAATGCATTTACAAGGTTTATCAGCCGAAGGGGTGTGCCCCAGGAGATTGTTAGCGATAATGGGACAAACTTTGTAGGAGCGGTAAACGAGTTAAAGTCACTTGTAAGCGAGTTAGATGAAGAAAAGATCAAAGGGAAGACAGCAAGTAAGGGAGTGCGATGGTTGTTCAACCCTCTGGCGGCCCCACACTTTGGGGGAGTCAATGAGATTATGGTCAAAGCGGCAAAGAAAGCCATCTACGCAGTCGTAGGAAATGCGGAGGTCAACGACGAGGAGCTGATGACAGTTTTCAGTGGGGCAGAAAACCTTCTGAACTCACGGCCACTTACGTATCAGTATTCGGATGTTCGTGACGTTGTTCCCCTTACGCCGAACCATTTCCTGTACGGTCAAGCGGGCGGTCAGTTAGCGCCAGAGGCGGTCGAGACCACGGGGTTTCACCCAAAACAACGATGGAGAAAAGTGCAGCACCTTATATCGCTAGTGTGGCGTCGGTGGATGAAAGAATACCTACCGACGTTAATTCCTCGGTCCAAGTGGCTGAAAGTCCATGGAGATTTGCAGGTTGGAGACGTTGTATTGGTTTGCCAGTCAGACGTTCCACGCGGTCACTGGCCTCTAGGGCGGATCCTTGAGGTATTTGCAGGGGAAGATGGACATAATCGAGTCGCCCAAGTACAATTGGCGGAGAAGACGCTGATGCGACCAATTCACAAACTAGTTCCCTTGAATGTAGTTTGAACGTTTGGACACACTTGTTGAACTTTGTTCCCCAGTGTGGGGAGGGGGGATGTTTAAGAGGGATTTGACATTGTGGTTAATATATATTCAGTTTTCTGAAGTTTTGGCACTGGAAGGTGGAAACACCTGACCGAGCAAAAAGACTAGGACGAGAGCGTGTTTCAAGTTGAAGATTTCGCTGTTTTTTATTTTGTATTGTCTTTCATATTTGTAAATTTTGATTAAAAAATCTAAAATTATCGTGTGTATTTGATTTGTTCGAGTGCGGAGCAAGCGTCTGCACGACAGGTATAAAACTAAAAAGAGTGCTTCGTTCCAACTATACAGCCGCTACTCGCAAAAAAAATCCCATGGAATTATGTTGTAAAAGGCCAAGGCATGTACACAGAATGCTACCAGTATTTAAGAATGCAATTCAATTTTAAATATCTTAGACTTCGATTTTAAAAAATATCTTAGACAAAAGTCTTGATCGCATTGTCGTATTGCACCCGGGTCGAACCCTAACTCGGATATCAAGCCCACTTCTGGTTTTGGTTACTGTAGGCTCAGGGATAAGGTCGGATCGGATCCGCGTAGGGATCCGATTCGACCTTAACCCCGAGCCTACAGTAACCAAAACCAACTTCGCAGGCCAGGGTCTATACCCAGACCATATACAGCTAGTTCAAAAAAGGTTGTCCTTTGCAAACCTTAAACTCTAAACCTTAAACTCTAAGCGTACAAAGCATAATTTCAAGCTTAGTAGTTGAATATTGCAGCTGTTTGTGAGTGGAATGTTTTTGCAAGGAGATATTTACCATGTCTCTAAGAAATGGGCTTCATATATGCTTTCTAAACTGTTTAAAAGTGCTCCCATTATGCTTTGCACGCTTAGAGTTTAAGGTTTACAATTTAAGGTTTGCAAAGGACAATCTTTTTTGAATTAGCTGTATACAGTATATATGCGACAGTAACACATCAATCAAATAAGTTTTTAAACGTGAACAACTTTAATAACCTAATAATTATACTTTAATCATGCAAATAACTTCATTAAAAAATTACATAGTGTGACGTTAGATTTGACATTACAGTATAGTCCATAGAGAGAACGTATAGTCATAGAATAATATATAAATTCTGTAATACATAACTTAATTAATCTTTGTGACTTTCACGGTCCTGAAAAAAAAAGAACTTGTTTAGAAAGGTTCTCTCTAGGCGTGTCAGTTGGATTACAGTGAATTATTCAATATTTACCTTGTATCTTGTGCCTCCTGGCTTGTTTGGTGCATGCTTCAAAAATTCTGCGATCTGCCACTCGACATCGACGTCATTAGCCTTCTTGTGCACTCTTCTGCAAGCTTCTAAAGTTAAAGGTGAAATAGAGATTTAATTTATTTATCTACCAAGACGCAGACATAAATACTATAAAAAGGGATGGCTGCATAATAAGCCTATATTTGACCCATGACATAAATATAACCCAACGTTTGTTTAAATCAGTTTGACAAAGATTTGCAACAACAATGTCCGCTGGCAGCGACGTTGTAAACAATACTGTATATAGAAGTTTTGCTGAACATTAGAAACTAAAATTTAGGGTAATATTTTATGGCAAGGACATGCAATCCAGTCCAAGACCAGTGGTGGAAACTTTGCTAAAATTTTTTGAGAGCACATTGCGAGCCTATATCTTCAAAGTGGCATTTTTATCACCGTATTTCCATTTCTGGTCTGACTGTGAGCTAGTCCTAACCGTAAATACAATTTTACAACGTTAAAACAACGCGACGTTTCTATCGTATGACTCTGGAAATGTCAGAAATCGATTCTATAGGTAAAGTGCAGCGTAGTCCCAGTCGTTCTGAAGCATGCGCGAGAAAAAACGAGGATGTGGTACGAGACTGGGACCTAGATGTGACGTCACCGCTAAAGGTGCTTCAGAACGCCTAGCAGATTTCAGTATTTTTAATATGGCAGAAAATTCATATATATACAAGTAACCTTGTAATTATAAATACGACAATGTTTGTTGACCATGTACATGTTCGATATCTACATAACCAAATTCAAATTTTCCGAAGTTGACAAGTCTCTCTTTCTTGCTCCGCCTCTCCGTCATGTAATGTACACTATAGTGGATCGATATGACAATGAAAGAGAGACTTGGAGCAAGTCTATATTGGCCAGGTATTGTAGCATGTGGCCCACATGTTACATTTTTCAAAATGAAAGCTAGTTTCCGCCACTGTCCATGACTGATGAAATTATGAAAAAAAGATTAATACAAATTACTTACTTATCAAAATCCTGCAAATTGTAAGGTCTTTGAAAGGCAGTTTTGACTTTTTTCCTTTCAGACTGTAATTAGACCACAGATTATTACTGCCAACTTTCGCAAGAATGCTCCTAGTGCTTATCCCACAGTTGCTTCCGCAGAGAGCTTCCATAAATTGTAACAACAGTAAATACACAGAACATATTTTGTTAATGCATTATTTCAAAAACTCACTAATGATTAATGAAGAATAAATTCAATAAATTTGCCTAAAATATATAAATATGTTAGAAAAGAATTATATTCTACTGTAATTGAAGTCGAATTTCACAGTGGTTGTACTGTAAGTGAACTAAAAAACTAAAAGAGTAATGGCACTAAAACACATTTATTGGCATTCAGCGATATCCAACTTAAATCCTGATACATGCCATGCCCATTTCGATGCCATATTGACAAAGATACATGCATTTAAACAAGTGAAAACATTTCTGGAACTGACAAAATTAGCTAAAAATGGCTTATTGAATATTAATACATACAACATGCAACAACTTAATGTCTTGAGCTGCATTATACTTTATTGTCAAACTGTCGTACTACTTGTTTTGCCCCACCCGGTAGATATATATACTCTGTACAGCGTTCTTCACTTTGGATAATGAAAATAGTATTTGTAGGAATACTTACCATTTTCTTCGTAAATTCTTGATCATCGTCAAGGCGAGACGACAATTTATTTAAATCGTCAACAGAGTCGACTGGACTTGGAATTATGTCCTCTAACATTACATCTGTATTAGCAGTAGCTTTACTGGTGGCACCGAGTAACATCCGCAAAATAGAAAGACCTTCATCCTGTTTTTCGATCATAATGTCCAGTTTCGTGAGGACGCATCGCTGAAAGTCTACAAATAATTTCACCATTAGCAAGTCTCCATAACGTGCGTTTCGTAACTGAAAGGGTACTTGGAAAAGCACTATACAATTACTAATTTAATTCAACAAAAAATATCAAAGCGTTGGTACGGTTTAATACTTTTGCATTCCACCAAACGATGGCTATGAAAGCCCTCATGTGCCCTACTTTGCCTTTCCACTCTTGTCAATGCCAAAAGGTTCTCATCAAGGGAACAATCTTAAGTGTTAATCAGTTAATATGTAGCTATATAGCACTATAAGGAATACTTGATGCATTAATGATTGCATTCGTATACAGAAATTGCATGTTTATAATGATATACAGTGCCGTAGGAAGATCTTTATGGTTGGGGGGCTGAAAGCGAGGGCTATGAAAACCCTCATGTGCCCTACTGTACTTTGCCTTTCCACTCTTGTCAATGCCAAAAGGTTCTCATCAAGGGAACAATCTTAAGTGTTAATCAGTTAATATGTAGCTATATAGCACTATAAGGAATACTTGATGCATTAATGATTGCATTCGTATACAGAAATTGCATGTTTATAATGATATACAGTGCCGTAGGAAGATCTTTATGGTTGGGGGGCTGAAAGCGAGGGCTATGAAAACCCTCATGTGCCCTACTGTACTTTGCCTTTCCACTCTTGTCAATGCCAAAAGGTTCTCATCAAGGGAACAATCTTAAGTGTTAATCAGTTAATATGTAGCTATATAGCACTATAAGGAATACTTGATGCATTAATGATTGCATTCGTATACAGAAATTGCATGTTTATAATGATATACAGTGCCGTAGGAAGATCTTTATGGTTGGGGGGCTGAAAGCGAGGGCTATGAAAACCCTCATGTGCCCTACTGTACTTTGCCTTTCCACTCTTGTCAATGCCAAAAGGTTCTCATCAAGGAAACAATCTTAAGTGTTAATCAGTTAATATGTAGCTATATAGCACTATAAGGAATACTTGATGCATTATTGCATTCGTATGCAGAAATTGCATGTTTATAATGATATACAGTGCCGTTGGAAGATCTTTATGGTTGGGGGGCTGAAAGCGAGGGCCGAAAGCCAGAGGAAATTTTACAATTAGTAGTAGTAAATGAGCGAAGGCGTATTTAATTAACTATATATTGGATAAGTTGCAAAAAAGTATGGGTACTATCTTCATACTTTTTGTCATGAATAATGTAGCTGCTTAAAATTCATCAATTGTTTGTACTAATAATGGTATATTATTTAAATGGTAAAGGTCTGCATGATTTTGAAAAAAAAGAATGATTATTAGCAAATTATGGGGCGGGGGGAGCAGCCCAGTTAATATGGCCCTAAA